GAGGGTCGCACCACCCGCACGCCTGGGTCGCCTGAGCAGCCTGCCCTGCTTTGCCAGCCCTTCGGACCAATGTGTCCTGTCAGGGGCTGCTTCGGGAGAAGGAAGCCGGGAGGAAGCTTCCAGCACAAAGACCCAAAGGGAAATGGCTTTTACGCTCACGGGACTGTTGTCCTGTCTTTCCATATGGAGTGTATCCTAGAAAAGTCCTTTCCTTTGGCAGCGGTTCTAGAGGGAGGGAACGTCCTCTGCGACAGAATCCACAGCAGCGTGCATTCTCCCATTTATCAACCGCGGACTCTGTACCCGCCTCAGACCGTGTCCTCGCCGTTGCCTGGAGGGCCCCTTGCTTCCGTCTTGCCACAGCCACGCTCACCTAACTCTTCCTTGAAGTCTTAACCAGGATTCGAAGGGGGGGGGGGGGAAGAGGCCATTTCCCCAACCCGGCTGGGCTGGCCTTGCAGAGATTCTGAATTCCCTTCTGTGAGTCAGGCTGGGGGCAATGGCTCTTGCCCCAAGTGCTGAGCACACAGTTCGAGAGCCCGGCCTCCTGTCCGTGTGTGCCCACTGAAAGCTGTGAGGCGGAGGGGAGGGAGGCTCAGAAAGGCCGGCCCCAAAGTAACAGCAGCATGGCCTGTGTCCCCCCCACCGTGGAGCCCAGGCAGGGGAGAGAAAAGCCACAGAGGGGGGGAAGAGCTCCTGTGCCAGAGGACGATGATAGGCAGATGGTGAGAAGCGGTTTCCAGAAACTGGGAAACAGCCCCATCTGACTGCAAGAGAGAGACATACCGAAGGAGGGCAGGACGGAAACAGAAAACAGCTGGCCCGGCTGGGCTGGCAGGGACGGGCTTTCTCATTTTGCGGATGAGGAAACTGAGGCCCAGGGAGGGGAAGTGGTTTGCTCAAGAGCAGATTCTTGAAAGAATCATCTGCTTTCGCCCTCCGTCTCCACTTCCTCACCTTCCGTGCTGTCCTGAGTCTGAACCGAAGGACAGGCAGGCTGGAAACCCCGTACAGAGGGGCGGGGGGTGAGGGAACGTGAGAGAAGCTGAGTGTCCGGGCCTGCGTTTGCTTCTCATTCCGGGCCGGGAAGGCAAGATCTTTAAGACCGACTCTGCTCCCTTCTGCTGATCTCCCTCGGAGCTCTGCACCTCAAGACAGAATCCCGGGGGAATCGTAGCTGTGTGAGCTGGGGCGGGGAGCCACAGGCGTGGTTGTGTGCAGAGCTCAGGCTCCCGCGGTTATGCAAGCGGGTGCTGAAACTCTCCGGCAACCCTTTCTCCTAACCCCTGTGAAGACATCTCTCCTGAGCATTTCACGTGAAGCTTCGGAGATAAGAAAGGCAGGACCCTGCACTTCTGCTCAGTTGCTGCCTCCTCCGGGAAGCCCTCCTTGTTGCAGCATGAATCTGGGCTCCCCCCAGGGGTCTGCTCACCCATAGTATTAGCCCTACTTTTCTGCCTTAGCCCCCTCAGCCTGGGTTTGTTATATGGGCTTCTGTCTGCTTCCTTCTCTAGACGGGAAGTTGTCTGGGGCCAGGAGGACCCAGTCTCGTTCGCATCTGTACCCTGCCTGCCTATGTCCCTGCACAAATGTGCTCCATGCTTTGGAGCCCGGAACCGGCTGTTAATGGAGGCACATTACACATCTTCGGTGAGCTTCCCCGAGGGGTCTGAAGGGTGCAAAGAAGAGGCATTTGGGTGCAGAAATAGAAGGTGATTCTAAGAATGGGTGTGGAAGGAAAGACAAATGCAGTGCGTGGAGTGGAGGGTGAGTGGGAGGAAAGAAGTGAAGTCGGAAGGGAAGGGCGGAGAGGAAGAGCCCAAGCACCAGGAAAGGAGAAGGGGAGGGGAAAGAGGAGGCGGACCTCGCCCACCGGGCTCTGCAGCAGGGTCTCTCCCTGCCCCGGACGCCTTGCACAGACGCACAACCTCAGCCAGACCTTCCTGGCGTTTTGTCTGGCATTCTAAAGCTCGGTCTTTTTTTTTTTTTTTTTATTTTAATTAATTAATTTTTTTAAATGTTTATTTATTTTTGGCAGAGAGAGAGAGAGAGAGAGAGAGAGAGAGAGAGACAGAGCATGAGCGGGGGCGGGGCAGAGAGCGAGGGAGACACAGAATCTGAAACAGACTCCAGGCTCTGAGCTGTCAGCCCAGAGCCCGACGCGGGGCTCGAACTCACAAACCGCGAGTTCGTGACCTGAGCCGAAGTCGGATGCTCAACCGACTGAGCCACCCAGGCGCCCCTAAAGCTCGGTCATTTAAAAAGATCTTTGATTCCCACCAATACTCTGATTTCGGACATTTGGGAAAAAAAAAAAAAAAAAAAGTCATGGCCCTTGCATGCCGCCCTATTGAGATTAAGATAAATATATCGATTGAAACCATCTTCCCCTTAATAGTTATTTGTGGAATCAAAAATTCCCATGATCATTGAAGCTCTAACATCACGTTTGGCTGTTTCAGGATAAAGTTTGCATTTGATGCAAAATAACCATGAGGTATATGTGTCTGTAGGTGCGGGTAATAGGATTTTTTAAAATCATTATACCTTTTGCCCTGTTGTTTCTGCCTTTACATCTTTTAAATCTGCTGCTCTTTGGCAACGATAGCCTGGGTCTCAGGAGTTTTTTGTTTGTTGTGGTTAGGAAGGCTTCTGCCCCCAAACTCACCCTCCATGTAAGAGTAGGAGTCAGTAGAGACATTTGGTTTGCATACACGTTTCATCTTATGGTCAATTTGTCCCAATATCCTGTGCAGCCAAGGGCCTCTGTATAGTGTAGTGATTTAAAGTGTGGGCTCTGGGGGTTCCCCGGGTGGCTCCGTCGGTTGAGCGTCTGACTTTGGCTCAGGTCATGATCTCGAGGTTCATGAGTGCGAGCCCTGCGTTGGGCTCACTGCTATCAGCCTGCAGCCCAGAGCCCTCTTTGGATACTCTGTCCCCCTGTCTGTGCCCCTCCCTGGCTCGTGCTCTCCCCAAAATAAATAAATATTAAAAAAATAATAAAGTGTGGGCTCTAGAGGCAGACTGTCGAGGTTTCTACCCCAGCTCGACCACTTATTATCTGTGTGTCCTCGGGCAAGCTCCCACACGGAGGCTTGTTATTCCATTTATGAAATAATAGTGATGCTTAACATATAAGGTTGTTGTGAAAATCCATCAGATAATATATGTAAAGTGCTTAGAACAGTGTCTGGCACATAATAAGTGCTTAGAAAATATTAGCTCTTATTATTAATAATCAACTGACATATATTTCTTGAGTGGGGCGGTGGGTACCCGGTGTTCATTTTATTAAGCTTTAAAATGCGCATATGTCTTATAAATCCTTTTTATGTGTATGATATGTCTTGCATGCGTTAAAATAAATGCATTAAAAATAAATGAGCATTTATGAGGTTTGTTTTAGCAATCATCTGTCCCAGGGTTCCAGGAAAACAATGAAATAAAATATTCCATCCCATTATTGGATTCATGTAGCAAACAATGGGACCGCCCAGGTATTCTTATTCATGATTCCAAAAAAAAAAAAAAAATATGGTAACTATAGAAATAGTACCGATTTTCTAGGAATTAATACACGAGCATGTAGTTATTTTTTTCCCTTCTTGGACCGACGGCAGGTTCTAGATTCATAGAGTCACTAGTATTGAATCATTGGTATGCCTGTCCTCTCCAGGCCGCTTCAGAGCGGGGAAGGACAGTACTCAGGTGAGGACGGATCCATTTACCCAGGGAGGGATGCTGCTGAGAAGTCTCACCTGGCGAACTTGAACTTGATCTTAATTGACAGTCCTGTTCCTGTGTCCCTTGTTGGCTCTCAACGCCTTGAGTAGAAAGATGGAGAGGTTGGCGGTGAGGTTTCGTTCTGGGGACCAGGGGAGGGGGTCCAGATCTTTCTGGACAAAAAAGACACAGCTGTTCATCTCTGATGTAGTTTGAGGAGGTTAATGTTGCCCTCAGCAGCCTCTACAGCAGACGCGGGGGTTCCGCCCCCTCACCCTGCAAGCTGGAGAGCATCTTCTGAATTGCCCTTGAAATCTGTTGCTGTCATGCTCCTCCCTTTCCTGTGCTAACGGTTGGTTGTGTTATAGTGCTTTGTGTACCTGTTTGTCTCCTCTGCTGGATTTCAAAAGTCTTAAAAGGAGACGCTTCATCTCGTTTATCTTTAAATACCCACAGTGGCTTGCTCAGTGAGTGTTTGTTGAATGGATGAATGGCTGATTGGGTAGGTGAATGAATGAATGAATGAGTAGGAACCATCATTAAAAAGCTGAGGATAGGGGCGCCTGGGTGGCGCAGTCGGTTAAGCGTCCGACTTCAGCCAGGTCACGATCTCGCGGTCCGTGAGTTCGAGCCCCGCGTCAGGCTCTGGGCTGACGGCTCGGAGCCTGGAGTCTGTTTCCGATTCTGTGTCTCCCTCTCTCTCTGCCCCTCCCCCGCTCATGCTCTGTCTCTCTCTGTCCCAAAAATAAATAAAAAAATAAAAATAAAAAGCTGAGGATAGGGGCGCCTGGTTGGTGCAGTCGGTTAAGCATCCGACTTCAGCCAGGTCACGATCTCGCGGTCCGGGAGTTCGAGCCCCGCGTCGGGCTCTGGGCTGATGGCTCAGAGCCTGGAGCCTGTTTCCGATTCTGTGTCTCCCTCTCTCTCTCTCTGCCCCTCCCCCGTTCATGCTCTGTCTCTCTCTGTCCCAAAAATAAACGTTGAAAAAAAAAATTAAAAAAAAAAAAAGCTGAGGATAAAGTGGAAAGATTGGGCCACAAAATCTTCCAGGTAAAATATTTTTCAAAAATTAGGAATATTCTTGAATATTCCAATGTGCTGAGTTGACAGAGTAGAGAATTTTGAATGTGGCTCCATTTGTCTGGTCATTCATGAGAATTTACAATTGTTTCACTAGGCTGAGACACTGTGGCAGCAAGGACCATGTTTATCCCCAAAAGCTAGCACACAGTAGGCACATAGTATGATGCTAAGTGAAATATTCTCTTCTTTTGTAGGATTTAACCCAACCAGTAACCCTGACAGGAAGGAGGACACATTCAATTCAATAAACCCATATACAGCATCTACTTCTGTAAGTACTTTCCCAAGGGCTGGGTGAACAGAATAGATCATGCGTCCTTCCTTTCAGGGGTTTTCGGAGGTAGTTAGTTACATTTGTACCCAACTGTAACACAAGGCAGAATGTGATAAGCACTACCCTAGAGGTCCAAATGCTAAGTGCTAAAAAAAAAAAAAAAAAAAAAAAGAAAAGAAAAGAAAGAAAGAAAAGAAGAGGAAAGAAAAGAAAAGAGAAGAAAAGCGAAGAGAAAAGAAAAGAAATGTTAAGTGGACCAGGAGGGGAGGAATTTATTAAAGCCTGTGGGATCTGGGAGGACTTCATGGCCGTGTGAGTCCTGGTTGGACAGGTAGGATTTTGTCAGGTAGAAACGGGAGGAGGACCATTTGTTGGACTCCAGTTCAGGGTGCGAAGGAAGAGATGGTGAGGGTCCAGGTGGAAAACTGTCTCCAAGATGGCGCCCAATGATCCTCAACTCCTGCTGTTCATGTTCTTTTGTAGTCCTCCCGGCATTGTCTCAGGGGTGGTCTGTGTGACCAACGGAACGTGGTGGAAGTGATGGTGTGTGACTTCTAAGACTGTGCCACAGAAGATGTTGCCACTTCCCTTGCTGTTCTGTGGACTGCCTGCTGTGGGGGAAGCTAGCTGCCTTGTGGTGACGACACCCAGCAGCCTAGGGATAGACCCGCGTGGGGAAGGAACTGAAGCCTCCCGCCACGAGCCAGCGCCAACCTGCTCCTACTGTCTGTGTCAACCAGCCTTCTTGGAAGCTGATCCGCTAGAACTGGGTCAGAGCTCCAGGTGACCCCAGTCCCAGCTGATATCCTGACTGGAACTTAGGCGAGACCTTGAGCTAGAACCGCTCAGCTAAGACGCTCCTGAATTTCTGACCCACAGTGACTGAGAGACAGTAGGTGTTCTCTTGATGCTTTAAGGCTTTGGTTTGGGGAGTCGTTTCATAGACAGCAACAGACACACGTACAGAAACGAAGGCTTGGAGAAGAGTTTGGGAAGAGCCTTCGTTTTCAAGGCGCCATACTTGTATGCAATGGGGGCGATGTTTTTTTAAAGGCGTAAAAGATGATGATGACTGTGAGGATGTGTGTAACCCAAGCTGGCGAAAGGAGTGCCGGAGCAGGAAGAAAATTTAAGAGGCCACCGCAGTCGTCCAGACGAGAGGTAACGAGAGAGCGGAAGCGGAGGCACCGCTGGGGGACCGGAGAATGGCACGTCAACGCAGGGGGGTGAAGGCGAAGAAGTCATGAAGGTGACTCCTGGGTTTTGAGCCCAGGAACACGGGGGAGCCATGATCTCATTTACCCAAAGAGGAAACACAGAAGGGAGCCCGCGTGGGTAGGAGTCAAGAAGCGGGGTTGTCTATCTCCTGGCGAGGAGAGCTCCCTGTGTCCAGAGCTCCGCGGAGGGCTGGCCACCAAGGCTCCTTCACAGATCGGGCTGGTCGAGAAGCCTCTCCCTGAAGGACGAGGCTGTTCCATTTCACGGCACATCTTCCTCACTGCCAAGTGTTCCCTGGTGACAGCCTCTGCCATCGATATTTTTAGCATGTGGCCTTTCTGAGCCTGAAAAACAACATCCACTTCCTGGAACTTCTCCTCCAGCTGACAGCCAGTGACCCCACGCGGGCGGGAGCTTCAGCTGGGCCTGACAGGCGACCGTCTGCCAATCTGCTAGGGGAGAGGAAGGCAGGCCGCAAGTCGGGCACGAAGGCCTCCACCCCGCTCCCTTCTGTCCTGCTCTTGAGGCCTAACGACGTCAGTGCACGTCAGAAGCTGAAAAGTAAGGAAGCCTGTGAATAAAGCCCAAGAGGCAGGAAGCTTCTCCTGCAATTTCCTTCTATGACAGCTGCATCAAGTCTGAAGGTAATACCTGGCCAGGTGACGTTAGAAAACCACCAGGACATAAATATTGCTTTTATAGTAATCCTAGGACAGGCCTGCGTGAAAACCCCCTGGGACTCGTCACACGTGCTGTTGCATCCCATGGAGTCAGATCTGAGGCCGAACCACAAAAGCATCGAGAGAAACGTGAGAGAGGGTGAGGGGTTTCCCCGATGGGGTCTGCAGCCCCGGGCCAAGGCTGGGGGCGGGGGGGGGGGCCGGCGAGAACCCACCGGACTGTTCCCCAGAGTTGTAAGAGTTCTCTGCCAGAATTTTAGAACTTGTGCTTTTTATAGTTTATGAGCGTCTAAACGGGTTGGAATAAGCATATTCGGTGCTGATTGACCCCTTATGTAGGAGTACTACCTCGCCCCTCAGGACCCATATCCACAAATGTGTTTTGATGCTAAGTGGCATTTTATTTTATTTTATTTTATCATTTTTTAAAAGTTTGTTTATTTATTTATTTTGAGACAGAGAGAGAGCACAAGCAGGGGAGGGGCAGAGAGAGAGAGAGAGAGAGAGAGAAAATCCCAAGCAGGCTCCACACGGTCAGTGCCTGGAACCCAGTGCGGGGCTAGAGCTCAAAACGCATGAGCTCCTGACCTGAGCTGAAGTCAAGAGTCAGACGCTTAACCGACCGAGCCACCCGGATGCCCCCTCCAGTGGTGTTTTAAAAGTGGTTGCAGACCGATGGAAAAGACAAAAGGGTGGTTTTAGTACGGAACAAAGCGCTGGTGTCCCGTGGAGACCAGGTGACATCTCCGTGCCGTGTCTCAACAAAGGTGTAGCAGCAGCTCAAAGCAGGAATGCCAGCAAAGCTGCGGGGGACAGGCAGGGCCACTTTCTTGGTTTGAAGGTTGGGGGTTCAGCAAAACAATATCACGTGTCACTCCGAACGGGTGTGGTCCTCAGAACTGGGGGGGGGGGCGGGGGTTGAAAAAAAAGCCCCCCCCGGGGGGGGAATAAAAACTTTGCCGCATCACCATCACCCCCCCCCCCACCACCACCATCGGCAAAGCATTTACCTGGCGTGTGCCCGAGACGAGCGGTAGGGATGAGTAATACAAAGGTGTTGTTAGCGTTTTTCCATGAGAACTGCATGAACGTTGAGAATGTGTTGGGATCAGAACGCAAGGGTCCGTTGCTAATGATGTGAAGGCCCCACATGAATCTACTCTGGATGATGTGCTGCAGATGGCAACTGCCGGATTTTCTTTCTGGAGCCTCAGTGGGGGGATAGGGGAGGATTTGGGGAGGACGCTTGCCCTGGAGCCAGGGGACAAGGCTATGTCTGCTGGGTAGTGATAAATGGGCAAGGGAGGAGATCTTCCACGGAAGGTCCTCTACTGCCTTGAAAAATGCTTTGAGCTAATACCAAATCACCACATATGTGGCTGGGTTGGATACCAGGGTGCAGGATGGGGACAGAACCACCAGCGGGACCTCAGAAGGGGTCCACGCACCAAGGATACGCCCCCTCTCCTCCCTTGGCAAACCTGACTCCTATTCTAGTCTGGGTTTCTTGGAACTTCAAAGATTTGGGTACGTTTGGTTCACACACCCAGTTTTCCAGCAGTGAGTTATTTTTTTTTTTAATGGTTATTTACTTTTGAGAGAGAGAGAGAGAGAGAGAGAGAGCAAGCAGGGGAGGGACAGAGAGAGAGGGAGACAGAGAATCCGAAGCAGAGTCCAGGTTCTGAGCTGTCGGCACGGAGTCGATGCAGGACTTGAAATCGAGAGCCGTGAGATCATGACCTGAGCCAAAGTCGGAGGCTTAGCCAACTGAGCCACCCAGGCGCCCCTGCAGCTGTGTTTTTAAAGCTGGTCCCAGGATGTCAGGAACGTCTGGTAGCCCACCTTCCCCTGGGCCTGAGCTTCCCCTCAGGAATAACTATATGTGTCCTATTTCCATGCAACATGACTGGTACACAAAGCTTACCCACCTACGCAAGAAACTCCATTCAACTATATGATGAATGCAATTAATTTTACACGCTTTTACATGATTTAAGGAGTTGTGGACGGAGGTATGCTGTGTACCACACTGCCTGCTGTTGATTCTTCATTTTCCTGTTATTATCTTTATATTTTTTGCTCCAGTTTTTCCTTCCTGAATCAGGATGGATGGCATTAGCCACATTAAAAGAAACACGACGGCAGGGACTTAACCAAATAAGGTTTTTTGCTTAGTTTAGTTTAGTTTTGTTTTTGAGATATTTACATGATGTAAATCCACATATTTTAAGTTTACTGTTCAGTGACTTTTGGCAAAGGTACTATATAGTTTATGAAACCACCCCATTGGTATATAAAACATGTGTATCACCCTAGGAAATGATCCTATGTCCCTTTCTTGTGAACCCTGACCCCTTCCCCTAGGCAGCCACTGTTGTGATTTTTCTTACCATAGCTTAGTTGTGCCTGCTTCTAGAACTTCATATAAATAGAACAATACCGAATGTATCCCTTTGTGTCTGACTTCTTCGATTCAACGTAATATTCATAGTATTCATCCACGTGGTTGAAAGTTTCAGTAGTCCTTTCCTTTTCACTGCTGAGTAGTATTCCAGTGCATAAATATGCCACACTTTTTGTACCCATTCTTTGGTTGGTACACACTCGGGCCGTTTTCAGTTCTTGCCTGTCGTGAGTAAAGCATTTAAAAACATTCTTGTATACGTCTTTGAAGTTTTCACTTTTCTGGGGCAAATAACCAGAAGGAAAATAGTTGGGTAATAAACAGGTGCGTATTTAATATTTCGAGAAACTGCCCATCGGTTTTTCCAAATGCCCACGATCATTCGGACGGCAACGTGTGAGCGTTCCTTTGCCCCGCATGCTCGCGGACAGAATGTTGCCAGTTTTAAACGTTTTGGCCATCCTGGCGGATGTGAAATATCACGTGGTCGTGACTACATTTCACTGATAACCGGTGATGTTGAACGCCTTTCCATGCGCTCTTTGGTCATTTCTGCAGCTTTCTCTGTGACATGCCCTTTGAAGTCTTCAGCTTGTTCTCTAAAAACCCCGGGTTGCATTTCCCTTTGTTTTCTTTTCTTTTTAATTTACAGCAGTGTGTGTATTGTGGATACAAGCTCTTTGCCCAATAAATGTGTTGTGAATATTTCCCCTCAGCTTGTGGTTTGCCTTCTCATATTCTTCATGTCTTTGACGAGTGGAAACTTTAAATTCTGATGAACTTCGGTAGATCAGGTTTTAATTGTATGGCCAGCATGGATCCATTTCTGGGCTCTCTGTTCTCTTCTATTGATCTACTTGTCTACTCTCATTTATGCCAGTTTCCACCTTCTCGATTCAGATGGGGTTTTTAGTTTGTTTCCAGAGGTAGGTGGACCCGGGCTGGTAAAGCTGCTCAAGGGAGTTGTCTGCGAAGAGCCAGATTCCTTCTGGCTCTCTGCTCCACCATCGTCAGTGAGCGGATTTTGTTTTTCTGGAAGCAAGATGGCTGCTTCGTCAATGGCGTCCCATTCTGGCCTCTGGCAGGAAGAAGAGGACAGACAGGTTAAGACTCAGCACCCTGCTGAGTCTGCCCCTTCATAATCGAAGAAAAAAAAGAAATCCCAAACCCAAATAACCAAACCATCATAAAAACCTTCCGGAGGCCCCAATCAGGACTCTGTTCGCATCTCAGAACCGATCACATGGCCACCCCCTAGTGGCAATGGAGACTAGGGAGAGGAATATTTTCACGCTGTGCGAGGACCACATTAGTGTACCCACCACTGCGGCAGAAGGGGAGTGATCGCACCTATCACTTTGGACAAATCAGAACCCACCCTTGCAGCTGGATGTAGGTCAATCTCACAAACCAGGAGAGTGCTACAAAACGTTTTGGGGGAAAAATAAAGAGTGAGGACGGGGGTGCCTGGGTGGCTAAGTCGGTTAAGCACCTGACTTCAGCTCAGGTCATGATCTCATGGCCTGTTTGAGCCCCGCATCGAGTTCTGTGCTGACAGCTCAGAGCCTGGAGCCTGCTTAGGATTCCGTGTCTCCCTCTCTCTCTGCCCTTCCCCTGCTTGCGCTCTGTCTCTCTCTTTTTCTCAAAAATAAGTAAACATGGAAAACTTTTAACAAGAGAGTGAGGACAAAGAAACATCCAGAATATATATATATATATATATACATATGTATATATGTATATGTGTATATGTGTGTGTGTGTATATATATATATAATATATATAAGTTATTATATATATATGTTTACTTATATATATGTTTATATATATATGTTTACTTATATATATGTTTACTTATATATATAATATTATATATATAAGTTATTATATATATACGTTTATTTCATGGCTTCTCAACCCGGTAAGGGGTACACAGGAGGGCATAAGATTCATGAACGGAGTTTTTCAACCTTCCTTCCACAAGGCTGCCCCTATTTACAATAGAAGCAGCACTTATTCAGGTCATTAATTACATTTGCAAGTTTTTTTTTTCCAATATATGAAATTTATTGTCAAATTGGTTTCCATACAACACCCAGTGCTCATCCCAAAAGGTGCCCTCCTCAATACCCATCACCCACCCTCCCCTCCCTCCCACCCCCCATCAACCCTCAGTTTGTTCTCAGTTTTTAAGAGTCTCTTAAGCTTTGGCTCTCTCCCACTCTAACCTCTTTTTTTTTTTTTTTTCCCTTCCCCTCCCCCATGGGTTTCTGTTAAGTTTCTCAGGATCCACATAAGAGTGAACACATAGGGTATCTGTCTTTCTCTGCCTGGCTTATTTCACTTAGCATAACCCTCTCCAGTTCCATCCACGTTGCTACAAAGGGCCAGATTTCATTCTTTCTCATTGCCACGTAGTATTCCATTGTGTACATAAACCACAATTTCTTTATCCATTTGTCAGTTGATGGACATTTAGGCTCTTTCCATAATTTGGCTATTGTTGAGAGTGCTGCTATAAACATTGGGGTACAAGTGCCTCTATGCATCAGCACTCCTGTATCCCTTGGGTCAATTCCTAGCAGTGCTATTGCTGGGTCATAGGGTAGGTCTATTTTTAATTTTTTGAGGAACCTCCACACTGTTTTCCAGAGTGGCTGCACCAATTACATTTGCAAGTTTTGAATCTTTGAGAGGTAACCGCCTCATTAATATCTTAACCGAATCTATGTCTTAAAAACTCAAAGACAGAGAAAGCATGATGGCAAATGTTTGGATCCTGGAGATGTTGGGGAGAACAACAGCCACTTCTGTTCAGAACCTGCTCTTCGTGCACTTAGTGACAGACTCTATTACCTTGTCCCACAGCAGGCACTGCTCAAGTTCCCAGCATGGATATTGCACCATTTCTTGCCTTGAGATCCCGTAAGTCCGTCTATACTGCCTGCTATTGAGTAATTCGTTTAGCCTTTAATATTAGCCCATCCTTGTTCTTGGAAGAAAATGATTCGAGGGACAGGCAAGTGCCTAGCAG